CGGAGCGCGTCGCGCTCGACGGCGGGGCTGCAGGTCACCCACGCCGAGCTGAGCTGCTGCGGCACACGCGGCTCTGCCACGCCATCACCTACGCCAGCTGCCAGGGGCTGACCCTGCGCGGCCGGGTGTGGCTGCTGGACTGCGGCACGCAGCACTTCAACCTGCGGCACCTCTACGTGGGCGCCAGCAAGGCCACCAGCAGCGAACTGCTCAGCGTGCTTTAGGATAGGTCTCGAGCCTGGTGGGGTCACTGGCCCACAAATGTTCCAACTTCGTCCAGCAGCACTTCTTCGGTTTTTTGCTCTAGCGTACGCAAAAAAACTGGGCGAGCTTGACGCCCTTGACGGGCTCGATGGGCTTGACTTGCGTGCCTGGTAGGGGGGCTCGGAACCAATGTGCTCCTTATTACCTGGGGGCAAGGTATTGATGAACATTTGAGCGTTAGCATCCCGCATGCCGGCCATAGGCTTCAGGAGAGTTCTGCGGATTAATTGCGTATTCAGTAGGACGACTCCCAGTTTCATGAGTGTTTGCATGTGAAATTTAGCCTCTATCTCCGGCAATCTGCTTTTGAGCTGGGTTCGCCTGTTTCAATTAATTGCTGCTTTGAGCTGAGCACGTAAGAGTTGCCAGGAGCATGTTGCAGCGAAACTGTTAGTGGTATCCATGTTGTTTTTTCATTCTCTCAACTCTGTCTAAATATGCTTTCCCTGCGTCCCATGGCTGTGCCTCTGTCAATTCTGTTCATGCTTTTTCTGGGTGTGTATTGTATGCCCAGAAGCAGATCGCGTTCCCCTCTATACAGTCCCAGCACAGATCTTTGTTTGGACTGTCCTAGCGACAGCAGTGGAGTGGATGCACCTGTACGGCGATCTCGATCCTCGGGTCTTATCTCGGAACAGGGCCTTTGTCATACCACTGCCACTCCACCGTCCATATTTACATCTGGTGCGGGCTCTTGGGTGCAGGAACCGAACGTTACAGATGCCAGCCAAAGGTTACAAGCTGCACTGATGGAGGATTATCAACCGTCTCATCATGACTTTGTCGATACGTTGATGCATCAAGTATTTTCGTATCAGATCAGCCCGCCTTTGCAGCGTACGTTACTTCTTGTGTACTTTCAAGATCACAGAGATCGTCTCCAGAAACAACGCGACTCAGGACAGTTCTGTAACGCAGCTGCATCTGTGCTGTCTGGTTTTTCCTTTTGCGCGCATGCTCTTCGCCATGCTGTTGTTCTGCATGAGCAGGACACACGACTCTGTCAGGAGCTGGCTCATCCAAAGACTAAATTGTGGCGTACATCCCGGTGGCAGGAACTACTTGCTCGGAGAAGCAAGCCCCGTGCTCGTAGAGTGCCTAGGGTGCATCGCCGCCTTAGCTGTGGTGTTTCTGCAAAAAGTCTGTTCAGGCCCAGCTTTCTGTACACATGGTGTCGGGCTCTACTTGCGCATTGGAAGAGAGTTGGCAGTGGCACATGTTCAAATGATGATGATTCGCCTGTTTTTGCTGCTGACCACTGGCTCAGAACACAGCTATCATTTCAGGCACATACGCTACTTTGTCAAGGCCTGCATGCTGGTTTGTGTGCGTTTGCAACATTCTATGATGTGGTCAGGATCAAGATATCGACCTGTTGCCCCTGGCATGTGGGTGGGAGCCTTACAGTTTTATGCTTCAGCAGGTGGTCAGTTCTCCCCACTGTATCAGCACGGGTCATTGGATACTGTTCTTGCTGGCATGTATATTGTTGCATATGAGATTCCAGACCTATACTGGCAGCTATTGCTCATTGCATTGTACCACTTAGCAGAGGAGCCACAAACTTGTCATCTTTGTCAGTTTGTATTTGTATTTTATGTCACAGAGTTATCCTGGTTCATTGGTTTGCACTTTGGGCCATGCCTTTGTGTACGGAACCTGCGCCGACTCAAATTCGTCGGACTTTGCAGCTGCAGAGAGAATTATATGGTGATGATGAATTCTCATCGGGCGTGGACAATATGGATGTTGCAACAGACAGTAACTCGGTGGCTGTTCCTTATGTGGCCTCGAGGAAACCTGCAGTGGGTCACTACCCGAGGTTTTTTGATGCCTCTCCACACAGCCTCCACACCACTGTTGCCCCTTCCACACAAAGGTCGGCTAAACCCAAGCCACGTCCATCGCAGGCACCTCATCTTGCTGCATCTGGACCGAGACCAGCAATGTATTTGGCCAGAAGAAGAAGACGGAGACAATTGCGAATCACGCGTGTTTGCCGCTCCTTTCTTTGGAAAGGATGTCATAAAAGAGGAGGGAAACTTCGTTTGGCTGCCAAGCTGGAGGACAAAATGGTACAAACGGATCCTGTACCTTTATCACCACTACAGCTACTGGCTGCTCAACCAAGTGATCATTCGCCAAGGGATGAAGCTGGCTCTGACCCTCCGACTTCCGATGAGCTGGGTGAGAATCACGATACAGCAGCCCGTACAGACGACTCGGCAGATCTGGAGCTTGACTATATGTCTCCCGTTGACTCTGTACATACAAACGAATTTGACAGCGATGCCTAAACATTTGGCGTGGTTACTGTCTGTACAGATGACATATCGATGGATATCCTGGAGCGTGATTTGTGGGTATTCTGAGCTTGCTTGGGAAAAATCTTATATGCAGCCTGCATCACGCTATGACATCTTTACCTCGTTTGCCCAGGCTGTGGTGATAGCGCGAAGGCTGGTTTGTGCCTCCATCCTGAACCATATTTGGGATATCGATCCACTGCTGCAGGTTGATCTGTCTTATCCTCGATGGCATGGAGTACTGTTCTTTGCTTGGCAATTGACTGTATTATGTACTCAGCTATCTGCGGTGATCTGGATATTGTGGCAGGAGACAATATTATATTGTGCCCGGCTCCTGGCTCTTGCCTATCATCTTGGGCACCTGTATGAATTGCTGCTTGCTGCTCCTTCAGGTCCTAGCGTGCCCTCAACCTCGTTGAGAACTCCCTTGATGGCATTGCCAACCTTGGTTGGTCCGGACCTTTGGAATGCCTTTGCATTGACTTTGCTGCAGCACATTGCCGTTGGATGTCATCAACAGCTATTGCTCAGATGCATTCTGTGTTATGAGGCTCAGGAAGATTTTTATGATGCTTATACCCACACATCACATGGAGTTCAATGCATAGTTCTGCACGCAGTGATACATATGCACATTCAATTCTTCACTGCCCTCATTTGCACCATTCTTCCTGCTCTGGCTGTGTATGCTTCTCTGATGGAACGATACACTCCGGATCACCCGGAACCCAAAAGGACATGGGATCAGCGCCCTGTGCTGCCTCGTCGTCGTCCTCCACAGGTCTCTGCAACTGCTTCCTCGACTGGAGATAAGCAAGCTGCTCGCCAACCGCTTCCCCGTCTTAGACGACGTGCTCCCTTGCCAAGGCTGAAGGCTTCTCTTAAGAAGTCATCGATTCTTCGCCTGCGGAAGCTGCAGGCTCGACTCAGAAAGGCGAGTGGGCGGAGAGAGCCGCTGCCAAGACTGCGGGGAGGTCATGGCCTCTCTGAGGAGTTGCAGGACTCTCTGCAGGATGTTCCAGCAGGAAGCCACCTTGTGGAGCTGGACACACAAGGCCGAAAGCTTCAGTTATGGGACATTTCGTCCTTATCTGTCCCGGCCGACCAACCTATGGACACTGATGATGAGGTTGAGGGAGATGTTCACCAGGGCCTATATGGTCATTTCCCCACGAAGGTTCTGGGATATGTGCCAGGTGAGGACAGACAGAAGACTGTGAGGAAGCCTCCGCAGGCTCTTCGTTATGAGTCGAAGAAAAAGAAGGCAGGCCGTCAGAAGGTGGCAGAAACTGCCACTGGAGCAGCAGCCTCATCCAGAACTCCAAAGGCCAGGCCAAAAGCAGCTCGCAAGCCACCCTCCAAAGCTAGGGGTTCGATAAGGGAGAGTTTGATGGCGACCCCAGCTGCCTCTAGCAGCGCTAAGACACCAAAACTTCGGATGGCCAGAAGCAAAGCTGCTGCCACCTTCACGGACGTGAGGACCAGTGTGGCCAAGGCGGCTAATCCCTCCTCTACCTCTGGTGATGCAGAGAGCCAGCGGCAGCTTATGAATGCCAGGTGTGCTGAGCTGCTGGAAGCTCAACGAGCGGCCTTTCGGAGGAGAGTGGAGCTTCGCAGGGAGGCGATATTGGCAGCCACAGCCAAGGCCAAGGCGGCTGGCGCATCGCCGTCACATGAGGTTCCGGCTGCAGCAGAGGATCCGGAAGATCCTATGACAAGTTCGACAGGTGCGGAGTTACCTGCAAATGATGTACAGACTGCTTTGGACACCAGCCCTGGACCTTCTTCGCTTCCTCGGGCATACACGAAATGTACACTACTGCTCTGGGCGTGTATACAGCTCTACAGCTTTCTTTATGTACTTCCCTCATCTTGACTGTGCCTTCTTAGGTCATGCCTCTGGATGATATGAAGCGTGAGAACTCGTTTACGGCCAGGCACTTGATACAATCTTCTGTTCGAGACATTTCAGATGTGCTGGTGCATTGGGTTGTAGATTACTTGCGACATGCTGGTATACTTGTCAACAGGTTTCTCTTATTGACCATCACAAGTATGTGCACGCATTGGCAAAGTTTTTGTTCCATCCGTCACGACTGGACAGGGACATTCTTCTTGCACTTATATTCCTTGGCCAGGTTTTTCTATTGTTTTTTCGAGCAGCGAACCACACCTTCTATTTGTGAGCCCTCGGGTCCCAAGTCCCGAGCCGACCCCCCATCCGGCTTCACATCTCGTCGACGTTCCTTTTTCTCCCTTGCTGGATGGATATGCATCATTCTGTTTTTATCGTCTTTTTCCAGGGTCGGAGGAGCGAGGGTTGCCTCTGACGCCACAGAGGCAAGATCGCAGGAGCTTTTTGCGACTGCGACAAGCGGCGGAAGACTTCTGTCGACGGCTAAGAAAAGAGCATTTCACAGAGCCCAACGGAGGGCGCAAGCTGCTGGTGGCACCTTCTACAAAGGCAGATGGTGTACGGCCAGATCTTTGAATGTCAGAGGAGCGGCTGCGTTGGCCAATGACCGAGCTCCGCGACCAGGAAATTTTCGCACGTGGCAGCACAATCCGCAGGTTCTTGATCTCAACGTTGTATCCTGGAATTCGAGTGGACTTGGAGCTGCGGTCTTACCTGAATTTCTATTGTGGCTTGA